ATTTATTATGATTTGAATATTTATGGAAGATGAATAGAGTTCATTAATTATGATCAATACTTTATATTAGGAAACAATCAAAACTTCTATGAAATCACTTATTCATCAAATTAAATGGACGGTTGAGATTGGGTTGTATTGGTTGTACAAATGTTAAGGGTTGCATAATAACCAACCTCTCTCTCTCTCTCTCTCTCTCTCTCTCTATATATATATATATATATATATATATATATATATAACACATGGTAAGATGATGATTCCTGTGCACTAAATAAGTTATTAGGTTACCAAAAAAAACACCACATGTACCAACCTTGCCTAACATGTTATCTACCTTATTCCATCCATAATTCCCATACCAAAATGGCGAAATACAGATCAATATCGTCATACCAACCTGTACATTATGCATTAAAAGTTGTACGCTACTCTGTAATTAACAATTTCGGGTCTGGAAAGTGGGCTAGCAAGTTGTATTATAAAGACAATTAAACATGTATGAATATTTTATAAAATTTTAATTTTCAAATTTCAATTCTCTCTCTCTCTCTCTCTCTACTCTCTCTCATCATCATCATCTTCTTGATTCAATTTTGGGGGGGTTTGATCTCCATGAACAAGGCTCAATGGATCCCAATTCTTGTGCTAAGGGTCATAGCCATGGTTGCAACTTTTGTAGCCACTCTAGTCATGGTCACTAGCCATGACTCAGCCAAGGTCTTGGGTATGACCTTTCAAGCCAAGTATAACAACTCACCCACACTCAAGTAAGTCGATTCGATAATCTTTTCTTCGTGGGGTTTCGTCAAAATTCAATCTTGTACTGTTTTGTTATGTTTCTTGAATCTGCATTGTGGGAATTGTGAATAAATGGTGTTAAAGACGACATAACTGCTAAAGTAACAAAGCAAGTTTTTTTTTATGGGATTTTAGCAAAATTCAAGATTTATTGTTCATAAATGTTTTGAACGTGAATTACGAGAATTCTGAATAAGATAGTTTTAAAGACGATATATATGTAAAAGAACCAAAGCAGTTTTCTTTTTGTGGGGTTTCACCAAAATTCAATCTTGGATGTTCGAAAATGTTCTTGAATCCATATTTTGAGAATTTTGATAAAATATTGTTTAAAAAAGGCATATGTTCTAAAGAATTAAAGCAAGTTCTTTTGTGGGGTTTCGTCAAGATTAAATTTTGGATTGTTCGGAAATGTTTTTGAATCCACGTTCATGAAATTTTGAATAAAATACGATTAAAGAAGACATAACTTTTGAAGAATCAAAACAAGTTCTTTTGTGGGGTTTCATCGAAATTCAATCTTTGATTGTTCAAAAATGTTTTTAAATATGCATTTTGAGAATTCTGAATAAAACACTGTTAAAAACGATATAACTGTTAAAGATTCATAACAGGTCCTTTAAAGAGCAGTCTGAATGTCCAACCGAATTCAATTGAAACTTCTTTTGGATAATGAAGGTTATACCTTTTATATAAAACTTCTACCCCCCCCAACCCGGCACACAATGGAGGCGTAGACAGTCAATGAAATCCAATCCACGAAATAATTTGAGCATAAATATTCCACTGACCTGTAAAAAAAAATGGGCTCCTAGCTTTTGTCTCTCAGTGTCAGTGTCAGTGTCAGTGTTGGTCCAGCAGATATTGATTTGAAAACGTTTGTTGTAGGTACTTTGTGATCGTTAGCATTATCACGACGGTTTACAGTTTGGCGGCACTTTTTATTCCCCCCAAGAAATTATGGCGTCCGGTTCTTGTTTTCGATCTGGTATCTCTAAGATTTCTCCATTTGTGTTTTTCCAGTCTCTTAACTACCATGCATTAAATTTACTTTGGTTTCTTTTACGTAGATTGTGACTTCATTTTTGATATCGAGCTTCTCGGCGGCAGTCGGAGTAGGACAATTAGGGAAGGAGGGGAATTCACATGCCGGTTGGCTACCGATATGCGGCCAAGTTCCAAAATTTTGTAACCACGTTTCCGGAGCTCTGATCGCAGGTTTTGTTGCGGTCATTATTTACTTTATACTACTCCTTTACTCGCTCAATAATGTTCTTAATCTTGTTGTATTTAAAGTTTAGTGATTTCACTCACAGTATGAGAGTAACGTTATATCATCGTAAAAATTCTCGTATGTTATTCATCTTCTTTTTTGATATTATCCACGACAGCCGAGAGTTATACTATAACGATTTGTAACTTATGCAATGAAAGTTATACTTCATTTTGAATCAACCGTTGAGCGTTTTTATTTAATTTCTTTGAAACGAGAAAGAAAACTACGCACGAGTCCTGAAGTGACGAATTGACGAGTTCATAGTCATTGGTTTAAGAATCTTCGTCTCGTCGTTAGAGTTAATTACGGAAAAAGAGACATGTTTATCGAATTCTGTCTTGGATTCAAATTCGAAGAGTAGTGTTGACTTCAAAAGTCAAACATACAAAATTTTAAGTTGCTCGTAATGGCAAATGAAGAAAATAACGCTAGATTTCCGTCACAAAAATATCTCGAAAACGGTAACATTGCTCTCTTCCCGGAATAAAATCTACGACAAGTTTCTTTCTCGCATCAAAGATTCGATTTTTTCAACATCTTCAGGAGTGTCAACACCATGAGCATCATGATCAACCTTGATGACCTGCTAAAGGAAAAGAGCATTAGTTCTAACTCACTCACTAAATCCCACTCGAAAATAAATCCCGAAGATGAGATGTATGCAAACCTGTCGTCTACCTCAAAGAGTAATACTGACACAAAATTAGCAAAACTTCAATTTGGAAGCCGTTACCACAAACTAGTTGAGGTGGCTAAAAATATATCATATAAACCAAAACAAACCATACAAACACAGTATATCCCACTCGAAAATACAGAGGATGGGATGCATATAGATTTGTCTAGAAAATCACACGGGGTATATCAACCCTCGTGATTAGAATATTAATAGGGTATAAAATGCACAACATATCGTACACACTAACGCTCACTAGCAAATAATGAACTCCTAGCGATGAAAGAAAATGTTGGAAATTATGTTGGAACATGTAAATACCATTTATTATTCGACCTCATATATTTGTTTGTAACTGTGGGTGTCTGAGCCAGTTTGAGCACCACTCAAGTAATCAAGTAATCTAATGGACCAGAAGAATCACCAGTGACCCTAAAGAGACTCGAACTGGATTGCTGCCTAAGAAGAGGAGCCCAGTTGAGCTCAAGATTGCTTCCTATATATTTACTATTGTGGGTGCGATTGTTGATTCTAACAACGACATTAAAATGTGAACTAAAACCGGGAAAACGAACTTGAGATTTCTTGCCATTAATTATAGAAGCAAGCGAATATATAGATGAATTAACGAAATGAGTTTGGCTATATATATTCGATAAATAATTGAAGAAAGCAAATGTTGGTTTGAAGAGAATTATACCTTCATCTTGTAACCATTCTCAAGGACTTTGAGTTGTTCCAGATCTTCTTCTAGTTGCAATGGAGTAGGAGAAATCTCTGTATATAACTTCAAGAACTTTGCTTCATAACTCTGTTTACCCATAAAAATGCAGGGTTAGCCATCATATTCCCATTTTTTCTACCCTTTCGATTAGAGGTAAAATCTGCATACATCCTACTCTCAAACTGACCCTACCTATGTGATATATATATATATGTATATATATAATATATATGACCGAAGAATCGTGTGAAAATAGAAGTTAAGGTGAGAAGTGTAAGAAGAGATTTGGATCATTGAACACTTCTAATCCCAAAGCAACCCATGAATTGTGCTTTAGAAGGGAAGTGATCCAGTTTATCTCATTAGTATTGATCTAGTGGTTCTCTTCAATTAGAATTGATCCAAGGGTGGAGATCCCTTCTTACCCTTCTTGCCGTAACTTTCATCCTCAACGGAACCTAACCCTTTACAAATATATATTGGGTTCGGTTGGTTTGGTTTATTCCCATCTATTCAACCCCCTTGGGTTAGAGGCAAGATCTGTATACATCTACCCCCAAACCAATCCTACCTCTGTGTGAAATATACTGGTTCACGGAGACGATACTTCTTTGTAGGATATACTGGGTTCGTTTGGTTGGATTTGTTTTGGTTGGTTTATTCCCATCTTTCGTAACATACACAAAAAAGACAATAATCACACGAGAATTCAAACACGATGAAATGAAAAGGGCAAACTTCTTTGTTAAACGGCCCATTCCATTTCCAAGAATTGCCAGAAGAAATGAAAGATTTGATTTCCTCAATCCCATGAAAATTGAAACCGATTGACAATGTCTTGACTATTTCAGAAGTCTCGAAAATGCTCTTGATAGCGACAAGAGAATCCGGTGGACCCAAGTCAATATGATCTAATCCTTTTGGTGATGAAAACTGATAAAATAGTATTTTTTTCATTATAATTGTGGTATCCAGACCAACTGATGTGCACATCGACTAATCCCACAGGGCTTAGAAGTTAAATGCAAGGCAAACCCTCCGGTGTCCTAAGGGGACTTGAATTGACGACCTATGAGAAGCAAAGGTCTTACCAGTTAAGCTACCCAAAAGTTATATCATTCATTAAACCCTTTGAAAGAAATTGCCAACAGTCATCGGGTTTTTGTCATTTACCTGAATGCCAAGATGAAGTAAATACGGGAATTGTGGATTAACCTTCCCTGACCTGTGTCAACACATACGCAAAGATGAAGTTTCTGGTGAAACAGTCTGTGTAGGGGTCTTAATGATTTGAGCTTTCAATGAGCTACTCCAACACAAAACAGAGCTCGTTTAACTTAACGAGTCGAGCTCCATAACACCAACGTTCGACTCGGCTCGTTTCAAAAGCTTGATTAAAATTTTCGAATCGAGTCAAGCCGAGCCTTTCGAGCATAGAATTTTTCGAGCCAAACATGTTCATAAATCATATAATCAAAATATAAAGTTTATAGAGCTCGAAGCAAGAAATGAGCTAATGGTTCTCAAGTTCAAGCCCGTAAACAAGCTTATGAAGTTTGAATTTTAGGTATACTGTATAACTCAAATTTGTGAAACGAATATCGAGCTCGAGCTTGAACCCGATATTATTTTCACGACCTGAGCTTGAACAACTTGAAAATCGACTTGACTCGTAACAAAAACAGTAGTTGTGATGCTTACTTGTTAGACGGAATAAGTCCCCTAGAGAAATATATCGCATAGCCACGATTATCCACCACACATTTCACTCGATTCGGATCAGAAGCATCTTCCGCTTTCAAAGATGTGACGGCTGTGCTGAATACAGCATCAGGGGACGCCTGCAAATGTGTAACCATCAGAAAACCAAGTTTTTTCCAAACCTGCCCTCCCGATTAAAAACACACACCACAAATCTATGAAAAAAAGACCACCAAACAAAAATCTTCTCAATCTATACAGACAAATTAATTCATACAAACAACTTCATCCATACAGGACTTGATGGAGAACCAACCAAACAACCCCTTACTTGCAAAACTTTAACAACCCCATCAATTATCTCAGGCTCAATAAGCGGCTCATCCCCTTGAATATTTACAACAATATCAAACTTCTTTTTGAGGCTTAGAAGCGCCTCATAGCAGCGTTCAGTTCCTGCAAATCGGTCATTACATAAACTAATGCTTTTGATTTTTGGGAAAGAATAGTCGAACACATAGGCAAAAAAGAACCTCACCATTCCGACAAGATTCAGATGTCATTACGACATATGCTCCAAATCCACGACAACATTCAGCAATCCGCTCATCATCTGTCGCCACGACTGGTGCGACATAATCGAAGTATGACAACTAAAATTAGAAGTTATTTGATAGATTCTGAATGATCAATTGTGTGAGGTTTTAATTTGAAGTGGTTAGTTTACTAGGCGAAGGATCATGTGAGAATAGGGGTTAAGATGAGAAGTTAAGGGTTCTGGATCCTTAATCACTTTCAGGTGTAGTTTGTTTCTTAAGAGATGCTGAAATCTGCATTCTTAATCTGAAATCTGCAGTCTTAATTCACTATAATTGATAAGAGGTGGTGCTGAAGTCTGAAAGCATAATCAACAAGACTTATTGTTTTTGTAAGCTGATAAATGTCTGAATTTGTTAAAGTTATCTATTTTACCCATCAAAAAATTAGTGTTGAATTTATAGATAAATTTATACAATTTCACATATTTATTCATCATCATTACGAAATTTACATCTAAATTATATAATTAGCATTCACTTAAACGAAAATATGTCATTGACAGTATTTAACACATTTAAATCCGATTAAAATAAATCAACTGAGAGAGGTGATGATCATTTGGTAAGGATCAATTGAGAGAAATAATTGATTAAGGTTAATCGTTTGAGAAACGTCGTTGTTGAGGGTCTAGAGAACAATAAGAGGTTGGTTTACCTCTTACCATATGACAGGACAATAAGACATAATTGCCTTTGAAAAATTGGAAAAAACAAACAGTTTGATGGCCTACCTCTTAGCGAATCAAATATAAGAGGCTAATAAAAGTTTTTTACAAAAAACAAACAAGGCCTAATCTCAAACCAACCATGAATTAGAAGGGAATTGATCCGGTGCTTCTCATTAGTGTTGATATGGTGGGACTCCTCAATTAGGATTGATCCAAGGGTGGATACCCTTCTCACTGTCCCTCGTTCTCACCGGAACCCCCTAGTTTAGTAAGTTATGAATCTTATCTCATCTCCGGCTTTTATTCCACCTATTATTTTGGGACAAAACAATGCATTTTTAACTCACTCAAATCCTGTCTTGCACCAGTCTAATGTCACACCAAATGTGGGACTTGTCAGGCGTACCCGATGAAACTCAACAAATTGAGGAATGAAACTGAGGACCTGTTTGTTAGCAGCTTAATGAGCTTAAGAGCATCTCCAACAGCATCCCCAAAATGGAGAAAATGTATATTTTGGGTGTTTTTTTCCTCCAACAGAATCTCCAAAATGGAGAAAATGTAGATTTTGGGTGTTTTTTTCTCCAATAGAATCTCCAAAATGGAGAAAATAGGAGAGAGAACGAAATTCTCTATAAATATGGAGAATTCCCAAAAAATGATTACTAACGAGTGAGAAAATAATATTTTATTGTTCCTACCAATAAAAGTTTTTGAAATTAAATGTAATGAATATGTTAATAATATTATTGATGTTTTAATCTCTAAAATATAGAGTGTTTTGGAGATGAATGTAACATTTTTTGGAGATATTCATTTTTTACTCTCCCTTTTAGAAAAAATTTGGAAAATCTATTGGAGATGCTCTGATGGGAATCACAATTTATTCAGTCAGCTATACATGATTGTCTTAATGATATAGAAAGTGACTTATTCACAAAGTTTCTAGGGGGCGAAAACTAAGTTTTTCTTTCTTTCTAAACATGTCCCTCCCAAATCTCAACCTATACAGACAAACAAATTAATTCACACAGATAACTTTATCCATTACAGGACTTAACGAAAAACATTCCTTGAACCAAACCAAGCGCCCCCTTAGTACGTTTTATTTCATTTCACGTGTTCGACTTAATGAAAAACTTTAACATAGAGGACTTAATGAAAAACAAACCTAATTGGCTCAGTGTAGTAGCAAGCTTTGCTCTTTCCCAAGTCCTCTGAAAGAAGAAAACCAAAAAACCAACAGTTAAAACAACTATTTTCAAATCTAAGGCACAAATTAGAACTGAAATCGACTGGAATACCATTACTCAATTTCCATAGAAGATGAATCATTCGAGAGGTGTTCATATGTTGTGTGTGTGTGTGTTTGTTTGTAAATGAGATGTGCGAAGAAACCCTAGAAACATTGAAACCTGAATCATGGGTTTTCCAAGGATTGGAACAAGGGGCTTGCCTTGAAATCTGGATGATGCGTAGCGAGCAGGTATTATCCCCACCACTTGGCTTCTGAACTTAGCCGATCGACGAACATAAAGAGCGGCGTAACCCACCGCCATTGCCGCTGTTATTGCGACTCCGTAGACGGCAACGCCCTTAGCCGGCGGCCATGAATAAGTGGTGTCGCCGCCGGAAGCAGCGGTCGATTCAGGTTCCATACGTTCCCAGAATTCACCGCGTTTTACCACCAATTTCGATGTATTTAAATTCAGGGAAATTTGGAGATTTATTGAAAAAGGTACCCAGAAAAAAAAAATCAATCAATTTTAATGTTTGAAATTTTTAATTATTTAGATAATTTTTTGATATCAATAAGTCTTTAAATATTTTAAAATTTGTTAAATAACTTTTTAGATTTTCTAAAACTTATTATATATATTTTTTTATGATCTATATAACTTGTTAATATCATAAAATGATGAAAAAGATCTTAAAAAACCATTAAACTTTCATATTTTGAACGATTAAATTCATAAACATTTTTTAAAGCAAGAAAATACTTACGTCTATAAAATCAAACAAATATACTAAAAAATATTTATATTTTAAAAAAATTATTGATGAAATTTATTTTAATTATAAATAAAAATATATTTGATTGTTGATTTTTCAAATTAAAAAGAATTATGAATTAAATTTATTTTAATTTAAAAATAAAAATATATTTCATATGTAATTTTTCAAAATAAAAAAATATTTAAAAAAGATTATTGATAAATTTATTTTAATTAAAAAATAAAATATATTTTGCCGGGGATTTTTTAAATTAAAAAATAAAAAATAATTTAATTAAATTAATGGTGGATTAACGACAAAAATTAACTAAATACTTAATAATTAACATATGTCGCTAATTCATCGATAATTAACCAAATTTCTTGAGTTATTTTGATATTTTTAAAATGATGTAAATAAAAAATTGTGAGTAAAATAAACTAAAAGAATTAATATCGTCCAACTCATAGAGTCATAGTTATAAACAAAAAAGCCTCATCCTTACATATATTTATTAGTAAATAAATCATCGAATTTCTAAAACTCAGTTACTTGTATCATTTCAACCCAAAAAATGCTACATATCACGATTTTTTTTTTTTTGTAAGGGTGTCCGGGCCAAAGCCCGACTAATCCCCGGCAAATTTGGAGGCTAAACATATCACGATTTGCTTGCCTCACATATCAAATAGGTGGGAAGACGATTTTTAAGTCACGATTTCCCCGGTTTTTAATTTATCCAGATAATTGTTGAATAAATCTTTTTATAATACGTAAGAATCTAATAATATTATTATCCTATTAAATTTAATATGTAGTTCGGTAATATAAAAAATA